GTTGACTGGCTTCGAAAGAAAAACCCAGACTTGAGCGAGCTTGATGAGCCGACAGCCGAAGGCATCACAAGCATTGCTGGAGTTCCTATGCCTCCCCTGGTGACCTCCAGGACTGCAGTGAAACAGCCGATGGAGGATGCTGTGGATTGGCTCAGGAAGAATGACCCTGACCTAAGTAATCTGGATGAGCCCACTGTGGAGGCCTTTGCAAGACTAGCAGGATTGCCACTTCCCAAATCCCGGATGGAACCAGCTGATAGGAAGGAATTCATGCAGGATGCAATTGAATGGCTGCGCAATAATGGTCCACAGATGTCAAATCTTGACGAAGGGACGATTGAAGAAGTTGCTGATCTTGCTGGCATTCCCATGCCGAAATCAGGTGCAGAGAAAGACAGGACGTATCAACCAGTGGAGGATGCAATAGAGTGGCTACGCCAGAACGAACCTGACATTGAAGGTTTGGACGACCTGCCAATTGCGGCATTTTCAGCCCTCTCTGGATTGCCGCTGCCAGCCCCAACAGCAAGCCCCAGCGAGAAACAAGCTTTCTTGGATGCAACAATTGATTGGCTTCGCAAGCATTCCCCTGACTTGAGCAAATTGGATGAACCAACAGCAGAAGGGATTACAAACCTTGCAGGGGTACCAATGCCAGCAAAGGATATACCAAACAACTCCCTCGAAAAAGCAGCTGAAGCCTCTGTGAATTGGCTAAGAAACAACAAGCCCAGCTTGGGTGATCTTGACGAACCAGCTATGGTCGCACTTTCAAATCTAACAGGGGTTCCAGCTCCCAAGTCACAGATGAGCCCAGAAGATAAGAAGAAGCTAGTTGAAGATGCCATCGACTGGCTGCGAAACAATAATCCTGATCTCTCCAATGTTGAAGGTCCTGATGCTGAGAAGGTAGGCAATCTCGTTGGAGTACCCATGCCTCCATTGGTGACAAAAAAGACAGCGTTGAAGAAGCCAGTTGAAGATGCAGTCGAATGGCTCCGCAAGAACAAACCAAAATTAGATGACCTAGAGGAGCCTACGTTGGAGGCGCTATCAAATCTGACCGGAAAGCCTCTACCAAAGAGCATGTCCCCAAAGAACAAGAAGAAATATGCTGAAGATGCAATTGATTGGCTTCGCAAACATACCCCTGATTTGAGTGACCTTGATCATCCCACAGCAGAAGAGATAACTCATTTGGCTGGGGTCCCAATGCCACCACTTAGCACAACCGCCAGTGCTCTGAAAAAGCCAGTGGAAGATGCAATTGATTGGATCAGGAAGAATGGTCCAAGCCCGGACGAACTTGATGAACCTCAGCTGGACGCTTTGTCAAATTTGACTGGACTGCCACTGCCAAAGAAACTCACTTCACCAGAGAAGAAAAGATTTGTTGAAGATGCCGTTGACTGGCTTCGAAAGAAAAACCCAGACTTGAGCGAGCTTGATGAGCCGACAGCCGAAGGCATCACAAGCATTGCTGGAGTTCCTATGCCTCCCCTGGTGACCTCCAGGACTGCAGTGAAACAGCCGATGGAGGATGCTGTGGATTGGCTCAGGAAGAATGACCCTGACCTAAGTAATCTGGATGGGCCCACTGTGGAGGCCTTTGCAAGACTAGCAGGTTTACCCTTGCCGCAGCCATCAATGAAAGATAAAGATAAATTTATCGAGGACACAATGGACTGGGTTCGGAAAAATCAGCCAAATTTGTCTGATCTGGATCAGCCGACAGTGGAAGAGCTAACAAACTTGGCTGGTGTTGCAATGCCAAAAGGATCGGTACCTAAGGCTTCCCTCAAAAAACCAGTCGAAGAAGCCATTGATTGGCTTCGACGGAATGACCCAAGTGTGGATGACCTGGACGAGCCTACCATGGAGGCACTTTCTAACCTGACAGGGGTCCCTTTGCCAGGCAAGGAGATTAGCCCTGAGCAGAAGGAAAAATTCATGGAAGATGCCTTACATTGGTTGCGCAAACACAATCCTGAGATGGGCGAACTGGACGAGCCGTTTGTTGAGGACATTGCGAACTTTGTGGGTGTACCCATGACATCTACATCATCTCCATTCTTCAAGAGGAAAAAGCCCATGGAAGATGCCATTGAGTGGCTGAGGAAAAATGACCCTGTTCTTGAGGATGTGGATCTGCCCACAGTGGAAGCATTTTCAAAGCTGACTGGTTTGCCAATGCCCGCCAATCTGACACCAGCGAACAGGAAGCAATTCATGGAAGATGCAATTAATTGGCTCCGCAACAATGAACCAAACATTGACAAGAACCTGGATGGTCCAACGGTGGAAGAAGTGACCAGCCTTGCTGGCGTCCCTCTACCTCCGGGGATTCAACCAAAGTCCACAAGGATAAAGGCTTTTGAGGATGCAATTGATTGGTTGAGAAATAATGAGCCTGACTTGGATGGGTTGGATGTACCAACTGCTGTTGCAATCTCCAATCTGACAGGGTTGCCGCTCCCAAAGAATTTGTCCCCTGACAACCAGAAGAGATTTGTCGAAGAAGCACTGGAGTGGCTGAGAAACAATGAACCACAGATGACTGATAGTCTTGACAGTCCCACCATTGAGGCATTGACCAAGCTTGCTGATATCCCACTTCCGCCTGGAATTATTTCGCGTGATGTCAAGAAAAAGGAAATTGATGATATCATCTCTTGGTTGAGGCAAAATGATCCAAATCCTGATACCCTGGACGAGCCCTCAGTTGAAGCCCTTTCCAACCTAACAGGTGTACCTTTGCCTGGGAGGATGACACCAAAGAACAAGAAGAAATTCCTGGAGGATGCTGTTGACTGGTTGAGACGCAACAACCCCGAGGAAATGGACTTTGACGAACCAACACTTGAGGCACTTTCCAATGTGACATCAGTACCTATGCCACCCTCTTCTTTGCCAAAACGCAAGAAAGAAAAGGCTGTGGAGGATTCCCTTGAATGGCTACGAAACAATGAACCTGATTTTGGTGACGTTGATAATCCAACTGTGGAGAGTTTTTCAAAACTGACTGGATTACCGATGCCAGAGCACCTCACCCCAGAAACAAAGAAGAAATTCATGGAGGATGCAGTAGAGTGGTTGCGCAAGAACCAACCAGATCTATCCGACCTTGATGGACCAACAGTTGAAGATGTTACAAGCTTTGCAGGTGTGCCAATGCCAGCAGGACTTGTAACTAGGGCCTCAAAGAATAAGCCACTTGAGGATGCACTTGACTGGTTAAGGAACAACAACCCAAATCCTGATGATCTTGATGAACCTACACTGGAGGCTTTGTCAAATTTGACTGGTGTTCCCATGCCAAAGGATAAGAGTGTTTCTGGAGTGGAAAGTTTCATGGATGATGCTCTAGACTGGCTTCGGAATAACAGTCCCAATATGACAGATCTAGATGAACCCACAGTTGAGAGCCTGACACAGCTGGCTGGTGTTCCTCTGCCACGTCAAGCAGCTGGAAAATTACCCAAGAGACAGGCAATGGAAGATGCACTTGAATGGTTGCGAAACAATGACCTTGACATGCCAGTAGTGGATGATTTCACTCTGGAGGCCTTCTCAAACCTCACAGGACTGCCCCAACCAAAATCCAAGGAACCCGCCGAGAAGAAGAAATATATCGATGATTGTGTTGAATGGTTGAGAAAGAATGAACCAGATCTCGATGATGTCGATGTGCCCACACTTGAAGAAATCACCAACCTTGCTGGCGTTCCTCTTCCTGTTGGAGTCCTCTCAAGAGAGGTGAAGACAAAACCAGTGACTGATCTTGTTGATTGGCTGCGGAAGAATGATCCCAACCCCGATGGAATTGATAACCCAATGCTTGAAGCATTGTCAGATTTGACTGGGGTTACTCTTCCTTCCGATTCTTTATTGCCCCAAACAAAGCAGAAATTCTTGGATGATTCTTTGGACTGGCTGAGGAGAAACAACCCTGATATGGCAGATTTGGATGAGTCCACACTAGAACAGCTTCAGGACTTCCCCATGGTCTCAGCTGGGCCAATGATTACCCCAAAAGAAGCCAAGAAAAGAGCAGTAGAAGATGCTCTTGATTGGTTGAGGAAGAATGACCTTTCATCAGATGACCTTGATGAGCCAACTCTCCAAGCTGTTTCCAATGTGACTGGTGTTCCAATGCCTAAGAAGCTAACACCAAGAGACAAAGGGAGATTCATGGATGAAGCCCTTGATTGGTTGAGAAAGAACAACCCAGACCTAGACTCACTTGACGCACCAACAGTAGAAGAGTTGACGAAAATTGCTGATATCCCTATGCCTCCTGGTATTCCCACTAAAGCTGCAAGGAGATCGGCTGCTGAAGATGCGCTGGATTGGCTTCGACGTAATGATCCTTTACTAGAGGATGTAGACGAACCAACCTTGGAAAGCTTATCAAAGTTAACTGGTTTGCAACTTCCCAAAGCAATCACACCTGATTCCAAGGAAAAGTACATGGATGATGCTCTGGAATGGTTGAGGCAGAATAATCCAAACTTTGGCAACCTTGACGAACCAACAATTGAGGACCTGACAAAACTTGCTGGTGTTCCTCTCCCACCTGGTGTGACTGCCAGGAAGGTGAAGTCCAAGAATGCAGAAGATGTTGTTGATTGGCTGCGGAAGAACAACCCTGTGTTGGATGACCTTGATGAGCCCACTCTGGAAGCCCTCTCCAACCTGACTGGTGTTCCCTTGCCAAGACGAATGAACCCCAAGAACAAGAAGCAGTTTGCCGAGGATGCTGTTGACTGGCTGCGGAGGAACAACCCAAAGATGGACATCTTGACAAGCCAACTATTGACAAGTTGCAGAATCTCACCTCTGAAACCCTGCCAGGTGGTCCATCACCGAGGGACGAGAGACTGAAGGCTATGAAAGAAGCTCTTGACTGGCTTCGAAAGAATGATCCAAGGCTTGACGACGTCAAGAACCCCACAGTAGAAGCGTTTTCAAATCTAACGGGGATCCCCTTACCAAAGCAAATGACACCAAAGAACAATAAGAAATTCATGGAGGATGCTATTGATTGGATAAGGAAGAATGAGCCCAACATTGAGGATGTAGATGATAATACTGTTGAAGAGGTCACTAATTTGGCTGGTGTCAAAATGCCGCCTGGTGTTGTTCCAAAGGCTGCCAAGAAGAAACCGGTGGAAGATGCAATTGACTGGATCCGGAAGAATCTTGGTCCAGAAGAAGAGCTAGATGAACCTTCTCTTGAAGCTCTCTCAGAGCTGACAGGTGTTCCTATGCCGAAGATGAAGACACCCAAGGACAAGAAGAGATTCGTTGAAGATGCAGTGGATTGGCTTCGGAAGAATCAACCTGATCTTGATGGCTTGGATGAACCTACTATTGAAGACATCACTAAACTCGCTGGCATTCCTCTCCCTCCAGGTGTTACATCACGACGTGAGAAAGAGAATGCTATTGATGACGCTGTTGATTGGCTGCGGAAGAACAACCCTGTGTTGGATGACCTTGATGAGCCCACTCTGGAAGCCCTCTCCAACCTGACTGGTGTTCCCATGCCAAAGAGCAAGACACCTAAGGACAACAAGAAGTTTGCCGAGGATGCTGTCGACTGGCTCCGAAGAAACAACCCAAAGATGGACAATCTTGACAAGCCAACTATTGACAAGTTGCAGAATCTCACCTCTGAAACCCTGCCAGGTGGTCCATCACCGAGGGACGAGAGACTGAAGGCTATGAAAGAAGCTCTTGACTGGCTTCGAAAGAATGATCCAAGGCTTGACGACGTCAAGAACCCCACAGTAGAAGCGTTTTCAAATCTAACGGGGATCCCCTTACCAAAGCAAATGACACCAAAGAACAATAAGAAATTCATGGAGGATGCTATTGATTGGATAAGGAAGAATGAGCCCAACATTGAGGATGTAGATGATAATACTGTTGAAGAGGTCACTAATTTGGCTGGTGTCAAAATGCCGCCTGGTGTTGTTCCAAAGGCTGCCAAGAAGAAACCGGTGGAAGATGCAATTGACTGGATCCGGAAGAATCTTGGTCCAGAAGAAGAGCTAGATGAACCTTCTCTTGAAGCTCTCTCAGAGCTGACAGGTGTTCCTATGCCGAAGATGAAGACTCCCAAGGACAAGAAGAGATTTGTTGAAGATGCAGTGGATTGGCTTCGGAAAAATCAACCTGATCTTGATGGCTTGGATGAACCTACTATTGAAGACATCACTAAACTCGCTGGCATTCCTCTCCCCCCAGGTATTGTTGCAAGGGAACCCAGAAAGAAGGCTGTTGAAAATATTGTGGACTGGCTCAGGAAAAACAACCCAGTTGTGTCTGAATTTGATGAACCTAAGCTTGAGGCTTTGTCTAATCTGACCGGGCAACCACTTCCACAGAACATGACACCATCTGAAAGGGATGACTTTGTTGAGGACTGCGTGGACTGGATTCGCCGAAATAATCCATATGTTGATGATGTTGAGTTGCCAACCATTGAAGCCCTCAGTGACCTTCATTCAGAGCCTCTTCCACCAGGCACAACAGCAAGGGACGCTAAAGTGAAAGCGTTTGATGATGCAATTGACTGGCTCAGAAAGAACCAGCCAAAGCCTGATGACCTCGATGAACCCTCTTTTGAAGCATTGTCTGAGTTAACAGGCCTTCCACTCCCTGTCAGCATGTCTCCGCGAGAAAAGAAGAGTTTCATGGAAAATGCCCTTGACTGGTTAAGGAAAAACAGTGCAGACGCCACTGACATCGATGACTTGACGCTGGAACAGTTGACCAAACTTAGCAATGTTCCCATGCCTCCTGGAATTGTACCTTTGGAAGCACGGAAACAAGCCATGGAAGATGCTGTGGATTGGCTGAGGCAGAACGAATTGCCACTGGATGTTGTTGATGAACCGATCCTAGAAGCCCTCTCCAATATAGCTGGTTTGCCAATGCCAAGGATGATGAGCCCGATCGAGAAAAGAGAGTTTGCTGAAAATGCAATTGATTGGCTTCGTAGAAACAATCCTGACACCAGCAATCTGGACGAACCCACAATTGAAAGCATCACAAAGCTCACTGGCACACCGATGCCAACAGGCATGCAAACTCACAACACAAAGAAGAACAAGGTACAAGATGCTTTGGACTGGATCAGGAAAAATGATGTGAACCTTGATGACCTCGATGAACCAACACTGGAAGCATTGTCTAACTTGACAAATATACCATTTCCTGATGAGCTGACTCCAACTAAAAAGAAGAAATTTGCTGATGATGCCCTTGACTGGCTTCGGAACAACAACCCCGATCTTACCAGTATTGATCAAGAGACAGCTGACAACATCTCCGCCGTACCGAATCATCCACTCCCCCCACATGCAGTCTCCCGTGATGCCAAACAAAAAAGTGTCGAGGATATGATTGATTGGTTGAGGAAAAATGGACCTCCGTTGGATGATCTGGATGAACCCATTCTGGAATCTCTATCCAATCTCACAGGAGTTCCCATGCCCAGGCATAAAACTCCTAATGCTAGGAAAGATTTCATGGAAGATGCTGTTGACTGGCTCCGAAATAATGAGCCAGATTTGGGATCCATGGATGGTCCAACTCTGGACAATCTAATGCAAGTCCCAGGTGCACCACTCCTGCCTGGGGTTGTTCCCCGAGATGCTAAGAAGAGGGCTGTTGATGATGCTCTTGAATGGTTACGAAAGAATGACCCATTACCTGACGACTTGGAAGAACCAACCATTGAAGCCCTCTCAAATCTTACCGGAATACCCATGCCTTCCAAAATGACACCAAATGAGAAGAAAGGGTTTTTGGAGGATGCTCTTGACTGGATTCGCAAGAATGAACCAGATCTGTCAAACCTTGATGAACCGACCCTAGAAAATTTGACTATGGTACCAGGCATGCCCATCCCACCAAGCATGAAACCTAGAGCAACAAAAGAAGACGAAGTGGATGATGTGCTTTCATGGCTTCGCAAAAATGGTCCGCCACCCGAGGAACTTGATGAACCTTCCGTAGAGGCCTTGTCTAACTTGACAGGATTACCGCTGCCAACGGCAATCCCTCCAGAGGAGAAGAAAAGAATATTGGATCAAGCAGTGGATTGGCTTCGCCATGGAGGTCCTGAGTTTTCCAAGTTGGACGAGCCATTACTTGACAGCCTCCTTCAGGTCCCTGGGGCGCCCACACCTCCTGGGGTTGTACCTAGAAGCACAAAGAAGGATGTTGCGGAAGATGCCATCGAATGGCTCAGAAAGCATGGCCCACCAGAAGATGAGCTAGACGAGCCCATAGTTGAGGCTTTGGCAAAGCTTTCCGGAATTCCAATGCCAAAGAGATTGACACCTCAGGAGAAGAAAGAGATCATTGAAAATGTGGTGGATTGGGTTCGGAAGAATGAACCTGATCTCGCCAAACTAGATGAACCCACTCTTGACAGTCTTATGAGAATGCCCGGGGCACCAATACCACCACAAATTGTCCCAAGGGAAACCAAGAAAAAGGGAGTGGAAGAGACGGTGTCATGGCTCAGGAAGAATGGACCACCACCTGATGACATTGATGAACCTACCCTCGCAACGCTATCACGCTTGACAGGTGTTCCACTGCCACAGAAAATGACACCGGAAGACAAGGCCAAGTTCACGGAGGATGTGGTTGACTGGATGCGCCAGAATGAGATTGACAGTTCAAAACTGCATGAACCAACTCTCGACAGTATCATGCAGGTTCCAGGTGCCCCAATGCCTTCAGGAGTTGTACCTCGTGAAACAAAGAAGAAGGGCGTTGATGATGTTGTGGAGTGGCTCAGGAAGAATGGTGCCCCCGAGGATGTCCCTGATGAACCCACACTTGAAGCCCTATCAAATCTGACGGGTGTCCCAATGCCCAAGAAGGACACACCCAAGGACAAGAAGAAGTTCATGGAGGATAGTGTGGACTGGCTTCGAAAGAATACGCCAGATACATCCAAGCTTGCTGAACCCACCCTTGACAGTCTGTTGCAGGTTCCAGGAGCACCCATGCCTTCTGGTGTTGTTCCTCGTGAAACAAAGAAGAAGGGTGTTGACGATGTACTTGATTGGCTGAGGAAGAATGGAGCCCCAACACATTTGCCCGATGAGCCCATTCTTGAAGCAATTTCTGATTTGACTGGTGTTCCAATGCCCACAGAAAGAACGCCAGAGACGAAGAAGAAGTTCATGGGTGATGCGGTTGACTGGCTGAGAAAGAATCAACCTGATACTGCGAAGCTAGATGAACCCACTCTTGACAGCTTATTGCAGGTTCCAGGGGCTCCTCAGGAACCATCAGTGCTCTCTCGGAACGCATTGAAAAAGGGAGCTGATGATGTTGTTGATTGGTTGAGGAAGAACGGTGCACCGAGCAGTGACATTGATGAACCTACACTAGAAGCACTCTCGAACTTGACAGGAGTTCCCATGCCACAAAAAACACCACCAAAGAAAGGACAATTGATTGATGATGTGGTTGACTGGTTGCGAAACAATGAACCAGATACGTCCAAGCTTGATGAACCAACTCTCGACAGTATCATGCAGGTTCCAGGGGCCCCTATGCCTTCTGGAGTTGTGCCTCGTGAGGATAAGAAAGAAGGTGTTGATGATGTTGTGGACTGGCTCAGGAAGAATGGTGCCCCTGAGATTGTCCCTGATGAACCCACTCTTGAAGCCCTATCAAATCTGACAGGCATTCCAATGCCAAAGAAGGACACACCCAAAGACAAGAAGAAGTTTATGGAGGATAGTGTTGACTGGCTGCGAAAGAACACACCAGATACATCCAAGCTTGATGAACCCACCCTTGACAGTCTGTTGCAGGTTCCGGGAGCACCCATGCCTTCTGGTGTTGTCCCTCGTGAGACAAAGAAGAAGGGAGTTGACGATGTACTTGATTGGCTGAGGAAGAATGGTGGTCCAGAGGAAGAACTGGATGAACCTACTCTTGAAGCCCTCTCAGATTTGACTGGTGTTCCGATGCCCAAGAAGAAGACTCCTGAGGCAAAGAAGAAGTTCATGGATGATGCTGTTGACTGGTTGAGAAAGAACCAACCTGATACGGCGAAGCTAGATGAACCCACTCTTGACAGCTTGATGCAGGTACCTGGTGCTCCAATGCCATCTGGAATTGTCCCTCGTGAGAAGAAGAGGAAGGGTGTTGATGATGTTGTTGATTGGTTGAGGAAGAATGGTCCACCAAATAAAGAAATTGACGAACCCACTCTGGAGGCTCTAGCAACAATGACTGGATTCCCTCTCCCAAAGAAATCCAAGCCTGCCAAGAGGCAATTGCTTAATGATGTGGTTGACTGGCTGCGAAATAATGAACCAGACACTTCCAAGCTGGACGAACCAACTCTTGACAGTATCATGCAGGTTCCAGGTGCCCCAATGCCTTCTGGAGTTGTGCCTCGTGAAACAAAGAAGAAGGGGGTTGATGATGTTGTGGACTGGTTCAGGAAGAATGGTGCTCCCAAGGATGTCCCTGATGAGCCCACACTTGAAGCACTATCAAATCTGACGGGTGTCCCAATGCCCAAGAAGGATACACCCAAGGACAAGAAAAAGTTCATGGAGGATAGTGTGGACTGGCTTCGAAAGAACACACCAGATACATCGAAGCTTGATGAACCAACCCTTGACAGTCTGTTGCAGGTTCCGGGCGCACCCATGCCATCTGATGTGGTTCCTCGTGAGACAAAGAAGAAAGGTGTTGACGATGTACTTGATTGGCTGAGAAAGAATGGTGGTCCAGAGGAAGAACTGGATGAACCCACTCTTGAAGCCCTCTCAGATTTGACTGGTGTTCCGATGCCCAAGAAGAAGACTCCTGAGGCAAAGAAGAAGTTCATGGATGATGCTGTTGACTGGCTGCGAAAGAATCAACCAGATACTTCGAAGCTGGACGAACCCACTTTGGACAGCTTGATGCAGGTACCTGGTGCTCCAATTCCATCTGGAATTGTCCCTCGTGAGAAGAAGAAGGAGGGTGTGGATGATGTCGTTGATTGGTTGAGGAAGAATGGCCCACTGGAAGATGAAATTGATGAACCCACTCTGGAGGCTCTAGCAACTATGACTGGGTTCCCCCTTCCCAAAACGAAAGAACCAAACCATAATCGATTGATGGATGATGTGGTTGATTGGTTGCGAACCAATAAACCAGATATGTCCAAGCTGGACGAGCCAACCCTTGATGGTATCATGCAGGTTCCAGGCGCCCCAATGCCTTCTGGAGTTGTGCCTCGTGAAACAAAGAAGAAGGGTGTTGATGATGTACTTGATTGGCTGAGAAAGAATGGTGGTCCAGAGAAAGAACTGGATGAACCCACTCTTGAAGCCCTCTCAGATTTGACTGGTGTTCCGATGCCCAAGAAGAAGACTCCTGAGGCAAAGAAGAAGTTCATGGATGATGCTGTTGACTGGTTGAGAAAGAACCAACCTGATACGGCGAAGCTAGATGAACCCACTCTTGACAGCTTGATGCAGGTACCTGGTGCTCCAATGCCATCTGGAATTGTCCCTCGTGAGAAGAAGAAGAAGGGTGTTGATGATGTTGTTGATTGGTTGAGGAAGAATGGTCCACCCGAAGATGAAATTGATGGACCCACTCTGGAGGCTCTTGCCACAATGACTGGATTCCCACTTCCTATGAAACCAAAACCACACAATAGCAAATTATTGCATGATGTTGTTGACTGGTTGCGAACCAATAAACCAGATACGTCCAAGCTTGATGAACCAACTCTCGACAGTATCATGCAGGTTCCAGGTGCCCCTATGCCTTCTGGAGTTGTTCCTCGTGAAACAAAGAAGAAAGGGGTTGATGATGTTGTGGACTGGCTCAGGAAGAATGGTTCTCCCGAGGATGTCCCTGATAAACCCACACTTGAAGCCCTATCAAATCTTATCGGTGTCCCAATGCCCAAGAAGGACACACCCAAGGACAAGAAGAAGTTCATGGAGGATACTGTTGACTGGCTGCGAAAGAACACACCAGATACATCCAAGCTTGATGAGCCCACCCTTGACAGTCTGTTGCAGGTTCCCGGTGCCCCCATGCCTGCTGGTGTTATTCCTCGTGAGACAAAGTTGGAGGGCGTTGACGATGTACTTGATTGGCTGAGAAAGAATGGTGGTCCAGAGGAAGAACTGGATGAACCCACTCTTGAAGCCCTCTCGGATTTGACTGGTCTTCCAATGCCCAAGAAGAAGACCCCCGAGGCAAAGAAGAAGTTCATGGATGATACTGTTGACTGGTTGAGAAAGAATCAACCTGATACTGCGAAGCTAGATGAACCCACTCTTGACAGCTTGATGCAGGTACCTGGTGCTCCAATGCCATCAGGTATTATCCCTCGTGAGAAGAAGAAGGAGGGTGTGGATGATGTCGTCGATTGGTTGAGGAAGAATGGTCCACCAAAGGATGAGATTGATGAACCTACTCTGGAGGCATTAGCTACAATGACAGGGTTCCCACTTCCCAAGACATCAAAACCAAGTCAGAGTGAATTATTACGTGATGTGGTTGACTGGCTGCGTAACAATGAACCAGACACATCCAAGCTTGACGAGCCAATTCTTGACAGTATCATGCAGGTTCCAGGGGCCCCTATGCCTTCTGGAGTTGTGCCTCGTGAGACAAAAAAGAAGGGGGTCGACGATGTGGTTGACTGGCTCAGGAAGAACGGGGCCCCGGAGGATGAACCAGATCAGCCTACTCTTGAAGCCCTATCAAATCTGACAGGTGTTCCAATGCCAAAGAAGGACACACCCAAAGACAAGAAGAAGTTTATGGAGGATACTGTTGACTGGCTGCGAAAGAACACACCAGATACATCCAAGCTTGATGAACCCACCCTTGACAGTCTGTTGCAGGTTCCGGGAGCACCCATGCCTTCTGGTGTTATTCCTCGTCAGACAAAGAAGAAAGGTGTTGACGAAGTACTAGATTGGCTGAGAAAAAATGGTGGTCCAGAGGAAGAACTGGATGAACCCACTCTTGAAGCCCTCTCGGACTTGATTGGTGTTCCAATGCCCAAGAAGAAGACTCCTGAGGCAAAGAAGAAGTTCATGGATGATGCTGTTGACTGGTTGAGAAAGAATCAACCTGATACTGCGAAACTAGATGAACCCACTCTTGACAGCTTGATGCAGGTACCTGGCGCTCCAATGCCATCAGGTATTATCCCTCGTGAGAAGAAGAAGGAGAATGTTGATGATGTTGTGGATTGGTTGAGGAAGAATGGTCCACCAAATGATGCAATTGATGAACCGACCTTGGAGGCTCTAGCCACAATAACTGGATTCCCACTCCCTAAGAAATCAAAACCGGACAAGAGGGAGTTGCTGCATGATGTGGTTGACTGGTTGCGAACTAATAAACCAGATATGTCCAAGCTTGACGAACCCACTCTTGACAGTATCATGCAGGTTCCAGGTGCCCCTATGCCTTCTGGAGTTGTTCCTCGCGAAACAAAGAAGAAGGGGGTTGATGATGTTGTGGACTGGCTGAGGAAGAACGGTGCTCCTGACGATGTCCCTGATGAGCCCACACTTGAAGCACTATCAAATCTGACGGGTGTCCCAATGCCCAAGAAGGACACACCCAAGGAGAAGAAGAAGTTTATGGAGGATAGTGTGGACTGGCTGCGAAAGAACAAACCAGATACATCCAAGCTTGATGAACCCACCCTTGACAGTCTGTTGCAGGTTCCGGGCGCACCCATGCCTTCTGGTGTTGTCCCTCGTGAGACAAAGAAGAAAGGTGTTGACGATGTACTTGATTGGCTGAGGAAGAATGGTGGTCCAGAGGAAGAACTGGATGAACCCACTCTTGAAGCCCTCTCAGATTTGACTGGTGTTCCAATGCCCAAGAAAAAGACCCCCCATGCAAAGAAGAAGTTCATGGATGATACTGTTGACTGGTTGAGAAAGAATCAACCTGATACTTCAAAGCTAGATGAACCCACTCTTGATAGCTTGATGCAGGTACCTGGTGCTCCAATGCCTTCTGGAATTGTCCCTCGTGAGAAGAAGAAGGAGGGCGTTGATGATGTTGTTGATTGGTTGAGGAAGAATGGTCCACCAAAGGATGAGATTGATGAGCCTACTTTGGAGGCTCTTGCCACAATGACTGGATTCCCACTTCCTAAGAAACTGGCTCCTGACTCAAGGGAAGTAGTCGAAGATTTTATTGACTGGCTGCGAAATAATGAACCAGACACTTCCAAGCTGGATGAACCAACTCTTGACAGTATCATGCAGGTTCCAGGTGCCCCAATGCCTTCAGGAGTTGTGCCTCGTGAAACAAAGAAGAAGGGGGTTGATGAAGTTGTGGACTGGCTCAGGAAGAATGGTGCTCCCGAGGATGTCCCTGATGAGCCCACACTTGAAGCACTATCAAATCTGACGGGTGTCCCAATGCCCAAGAAGGACACACCAAAGGACAAGAAGAAGTTTATGGAGGATAGTGTTGACTGGCTTCGAAAGAACACACCAGATACATCCAAGCTTGATGAACCAACCCTTGACAGTCTGTTGCAGGTTCCGGGAGCACCCACGCCATCTGGTGTTGTTCCTCGTGAGACAAAGAAGAAGGGTGTTGACGATGTACTTGATTGGCTGAGAAAGAATGGTGGTCCAGAGGAAGAGCTGGATGAACCCACTCTTGAAGCCCTCTCAGATTTGACTGGTGTTCCAATGCCCAAGAAGAAGACCCCCCATGCAAAGAAGAAGTTCATGGATGATGCTGTTGACTGGTTGAGAAAGAACCAACCTGATACTGCGAAACTAGATGAACCCACTCTTGACAGCTTGATGCAGGTACCTGGTGCTCCAATGCCATCAGGTATTGTCCCTCGTGAGAAGAAGAAGGAGGGCGTTGATGATGTTGTTGATTGGTTGAGGAAGAATGGTCCTCCAAAGGATGAGATTGATGAACCCACTCTGGAGGCTTTAGCTACAATGACTGGATTCCCATTGCCTAAGAAACTGGCTCCTGATTCCAAGAAAGTGGTTGAAAATTTAGTTGACTGGTTGCGAAACAACAAACCAGATACCTCCAAGCTTGATGAGCCAACTCTTGACAGTATCATGCAGGTTCCAGGTGCTCCAATGCCTTCTGGAGTTGTTCCTCGTGAAACAAAGAAGAAGGGGGTTGATGATGCTGTGGACTGGCTCAGGAAGAATGGTGCTCCTGACGATGTCCCTGATGAACCCACACTTGAAGCCCTATCAAATCTGACGGGTGTCCCAATGCCCAAGAAGGACACACCAAAGGACAAGAAGAAGTTTATGGAGGATAGTGTGGACTGGCTGCGAAAGAACAAACCAGATACATCGAAGCTTGATGAGCCCACCCTTGACAGTCTGTTGCAGGTTCCGGGTGCCCCCATGCCTTCTGGTGTTGTTCCTCGTGGGACAAAGAAGAAAGGTGTTGACGATGTACTTGATTGGCTGAGAAAGAATGGTGGTCCAGAGGAAGAGCTGGATGAACCCACTCTTGAAGCCCTCTCAGATTTGACTGGTGTTCCAATGCCCAAGAAGAAGACCCCTGAGGCAAAGAAGAAGTTCATGGATGATGCTGTTGACTGGTTGAGAAAGAACCAACCTGATACGGCGAAGCTAGATGAACCCACTCTTGACAGCTTGATGCAGGTACCTGGTGCTCCAATGCCATCAGGTATTGTCCCTCGTGAGAAGAAGAAGGAGGGTGTTGATGATGTTGTTGATTGGTTGAGGAAGAATGGTCCACCAAAGGATGAGATTGATGAACCTACTTTGGAGGCCCTAGCAACTATGACTGGATTCCCACTTCCTAAGAAATTGGCTCCTGATTCCAAGCAATTGATGGATGATGTGGTTGACTGGTTACGAACCAATAAACCAGACACTTCCAAGCTTGATGAGCCAACTCTTGACAGTATCATGCAGGTTCCAGGTGCCCCTATGCCTTCTGGAGTTGTGCCTCGTGAAACAAAGAAGAAGGGGGTTGATGATGCTGTGGACTGGCTCAGGAAGAATGGTGCTCCTGACGATGTCCCTGATGAACCCACACTTGAAGCCCTATCAAATCTGACGGGTGTCCCAATGCCCAAGAAGGACACACCAAAGGACAAGAAGAGGTTTATGGAGGATAGTGTTGACTGGCTTCGAAAGAACACACCAGATACATCCAAGCTTGATGAACCAACCCTTGACAGTCTGTTGCAGGTTCCGGGAGCACCCATGCCATCTGGTGTTGTTCCTCGTGATACAAAGAAGAAGGGTGTTGACGATGTACTTGATTGGCTGAGAAAGAATGGTGGTCCAGAGGAAGAGCTGGATGAACCCACTCTTGAAGCCCTCTCAGATTTGACTGGTGTTCCAATGCCCAAGAAGAAGACTCCTGAGGCAAAGAAGAAGTTCATGGATGATGCTGTTGACTGGTTGAGAAAGAACCAACCTGATACGGCGAAGCTAGATGAACCCACTCTTGACAGCTTGATGCAGGTACCTGGTGCTCCAATGCCATCAGGTATTATCCCTCGCGAGAAGAAGAAGGAGGGCGTTGATGATGTTGTTGATTGGTTGAGGAAGAATGGTCCACCAAAGGATGAGATTGATGAACCCACTCTGGAGGCTCTAGCCACAGTGACTGGATTTCCGCTCCCCAAGCAGTCTGTTTCAGATTCTGAACAGCTCGTCAACGATGTAGTTGACTGGTTGCGAACCAATAAACCAGACACATCAAGACTGGATGAACCCACTCTCGACAGTGTCATGCAGGTTCCAGGTGCCCCATTGCCTTCTGGAGTTGTTCCTCGTGAAACAAAGAAGAAGGGGGTTGATGATGCTGTGGACTGGCTCAGGAAGAATGGTGCTCCAGAAGATGTCCCTGATGAACCCACCCTTGAAGCCCTATCAAATCTGACGGGGGTCCCAATGCCCAAGAAGGATACACCCAAGGACAAGAAGAAGTTCATGGAGGATAGTGTGGACTGGCTTCGAAAGAACACACCAGATACATCCAAGCTTGATGAACCCACCCTTGACAGTCTGTTGCAGGTTCCCGGTGCTCCCATGCCATCTGGTGTTGTTCCTCGTGAGACAAAGAAGAAAGGTGTTGACGATGTACTTGATTGGCTGAGAAAGAATGGTGGTCCAGAGGAAGAGCTGGATGAACCCACTCTTGAAGCCCTCTCAGATTTGACTGGTGTTCCAATGCCCAAGAAGAAGACCCCTGATGCAAAGAAGAAGTTCATGGATGATGCTGTTGACTGGTTGAGAAAGAACCAACCTGATACGGCGAAGCTAGATGAACCCACTCTTGACAGCTTGATGCAGGTACCTGGTGCTCCAATGCCATCAGGTATTGTCCCTCGTGAGAAGAAGAAGGAGGGTGTTGATGATGTTGTTGATTGGTTGAGGAAGAATGGTCCACCAAAGGATGAGATTGATGAACCTACTTTGGAGGCCCTAGCAACTATGACTGGATTCCCACTTCCTAAGAAACTGGCTCCTGATTCCAAGCAATTGATGGATGATGTGGTTGACTGGTTACGAACCAATAAACCAGACACTTCCAAGCTTGATGAGCCAACTCTTGACAGTATCATGCAGGTACCAGGTGCCCCTATGCCTTCTGGAGTTGTGCCTCGTGAAACAAAGAAGAAGGGGGTTGATGATGTTGTGGACTGGCTCAGGAAGAATGGTGCTCCTGACGATGTCCCTGATGAACCCACCCTTGAAGCCCTATCAAATCTGACGGGTGTCCCAATGCCCAAGAAGGATACACCAAAGGACAAGAAGAAGTTTTTGGAGGATAGTGTAGACTGGCTGCGAAAGAACACACCAGATACATCCAATCTTGATGAACCCACCCTTGACAGTCTGTTGCAGGTTCCTGGTGCTCCCATGCCATCTGGTGTTGTTCCTCGTGAGACAAAGAAGAAAGGTGTTGACGATGTACTTGATTGGCTGAGGAAGAATGGTGTTCCAGAGGAAGAACTGGATGAACCCACTCTTGAAGCCCTCTCAGATTTGACTGGTGTTCCAATGCCCAAGAAGAAAACCCCCCAGGCAAAGAAGAATTTCATGGATGATGCTGTTGACTGGTTGAGAAAAAACCAACCTGATACGGCGAAGCTAGATGAACCCACTCTTGACAGCTTGATGCAGGTACCTGGTGCTCCAATGCCATCAGGTATTGTCCCTCGTGAGAAGAAGAAGAAGGGTGTTGATGATGTTGTTGATTGGTTGAGGAAGAATGGTCCACCAAAGGATGAGATTGATGAACCCACTCTGGAGGCTCTTGCCACAATGACTGGATCCCCACTTCCTAAGAAACTGGCTCCTG